ATTATTCCCAGTAGGTTGAAAACCCGCAAGGGAAACCTAGGCAAAAGTTAGGGATTTCTTGGCAAGTAACTGCGTCAGACAATACTTGATCGTTGAAGCAACAATCTTCTCAGATTCTCATCACACTTCAACTGGAGTCTTTGCTCGCGAGTTCGAAGTTGTTAGGGAGAACAGTGGTCATTGTATTCAAATGTATCTTTTCCATATATTTACCATTTTCCAAACTTTGTAATCATCTACAGAGTCTCGTTGTTCGCAGACTACCATTCTATTAATAAAGTTTGAGCCTTTATCCAATTCTTTGCAGTTCTTACTTTTATTCTGTTCGCAAAAATTTCATTTATTATCGATAGAAATTTTCAAAACAAAAAGACTTAATAATAAAAAATGTTTTGAAAAGAATTTACAAATTACCTTTTACTTCAGATGTTATGATTCGAGTGGTACAGAAGTAGTGATTCCAAGGATGTGCGAACTCCTAAATTTGAAAAGTCCTTTGGCTGCTCTTACTAATATGCGCGTGTTCCATTTAGGATACTGTTTCTTGGGATAGATGAGTCTCGTACAAGCTAATACATGGTGTGGCATTTGGGCCTGTGTTCCCATCTTTCCCCAGTTAAGTTTTGGTTCGTATCGTCTTCAAGCAGCTTCTTAATGATGGATTTGTAATCTTATCCTCCCTAGTCGGGTCCCGATTCAGATTTCTCCGACTGAGTGTAATTTCCTTCCGTGGTCAGAAGGTGATTAAGCAAAGGCTGCAAAGTTACAAAGCATGTGCTTAGTTGTTGAACTCTTTCTCCCTTCGTGTTGAGAAGTAATCTTTAGCAGGATATTATGCTCTCGAGTTATGATGTTGTTATTGTTGTGTGCTTCTAAGCAACCAGACAAGGGAAAAATACATTCTAAGAAGTTTTGAGATAAGTGTCTACTCCTTGGGTTTTCTCTCGCTATGCGCTGAGTTTGATTTAAAATCCCAACGAGCTGACCCATTACTGGTGCTGTCAACTTCTTAATTTTCCAGATGTATCAAATATGATACTTCCCTCAGAAGTTGTTATCCCGTGAAATTCCATGATCTCTCTCTCTAGAGAATTTTGCACAACTATTATGCCTAATATTGAAGACTGTATCCAGGCTCTCTTTGGTGTGTGTGGCTTCTTTTCCCCCAATGAAGTTAGCATAACAATCCCCAGTTGAAGTATAAACGATGTAGTTTTGCATCTTCCCCAGTAAATTTTGTATTGACATCCCCAGTTGAAGTCTCGACGACAGGATTTTCATCTTCCCCTAATGAAGTTAGTTCTGGAATCTCCAGTGAAGTCTAGGCGATGAAGCTTCCTCTTCCCTTATCAAAGTCCATATTGGTATTCCCCGGTGAGACATAGAAGAGTTTATGATATTCCCGCAACTTTATTTGTTGCTAGCCAGGTGGTTCTTGGTTTGCCTTCAAGCCATGTTTCCTCCCAGTGAAGTTAAGCCATGAAATAGGACTTTGTTTCCTATGTTGATGCTTACTCTCTCTTGGGACCTAATATACATCCTGCATGTGGCTTGGCCGAGTCTTGTCTTCACCCAAGATTATATTTTTCTGGTTATCCCCAGTGTATTATGGTTTTTTTGTCAGCATGCGCATGATAACATCCATGCATTCATACACATCATTCATAGATGAATTTAAAATTCATCACTCATTTGCATTCGTTAATGTTTTGTCATCATATTATCCTCTTTGCAAAGTTATGTTACTCTCTCTCCAATAGAGTTGTCAATGTTAAACAGAAAGTGTATATCCTTTCAATTTCCCCATCGAGTTATCCCTCGTGGAAGATTTTTGCTTCAGCCTTCCCATTCGGTTCATTATCTGGATGGAGTATGATCCCCTTTTGAGTTTATTTCTCATCGGGTGCTGACTTGGTTGATCATCTCATCCCAGTTTGTTTTTTATTTGAGTCTATAGTCCCCGACAACATTATTATTCTGATTTCTGCAGGCTTCGAGCCTTGATTTGAGAATGTGCATTTATTTTGCACGCAGAGACTTTTTCTCCTCAACAGGAATGTATTGGTATTTCCCCAGGAAATCAAGCTTCTTTTCTCGCCAGTCTTATTAGAATTCCTTCTTAAAATGACAAGCGGCGGTTCTCTTTGTTTGAGCAACCTGTTCTTCCCAATAAGTCTATTAATGCCAGAGAAGATTTTTTCCCAATGAATGGTAGCCTCGTCATTATGGGAGGTAGTTCGTTACTAAAATTTTTTACTCTAATGAATGGTAGTCTCGTCATTATGGGAGATAGTTTGTTGTTGAGTTTAGCTGTACTTCAATGATAAAGACAGTTCATTGAAAGATTCCTACAGCTGTGTTTTTACCCTTTCCGGGTGAAATATCTTGGTTAAAGAAGAAACTGAGACCAGTTCGTGGCTTATAGTCAGGATCGAGGGGAAGTTTATCTGATTCTCCATCAAATGGTATATCTTCGAGGAAGTTTTACAAGAGAAGTTTGTTGAGAAATCTTTACAAGTGGTAGTCTCTTTATTTGAGATAGCTTGTACCTTTACCCTTTCCAGGTGAAACATCTTGGTTAAAGAAGAAACTGAGACCAGTTTGTGGCTTATAGTCAGGATCGAGGGGAAGTTTATCTGATTCTCCATCAAATGGTATCTCTTCGAGGAAGTTTCGCAAGAGAAGTTTGTTGTGAAATCTTTACTAGTGGTAGTCTCTTTATTTGAGATAGCTTGTGTTTTTACCCTTTCCAGGTGAAATATCTTGGTTAAAGAAGAAACTGAGACCAGTTCGTGGCTTATAGTCAGGATCGAGGGGAAGTTCATCTGATTCTCCATCAAATGGTATCTCTTCGAAGAAGTTTTGCAACGGTAGTTTGTTGAGAAATCTTTACAAGTGGTAGTCTCTTTATTTGAGATAGCTTGTATTTTTACTCGTTCTAGGAAGAACGCCGGGATTATGGGAAGTTCATTATTACTCTTTGAGACATCACCTTCAGTAAAAGTTGGTGCATTCTATTTTCTCTACCTTCAGTAAATGTCGGTGTATCTGCTGTTTCTTTACCTTCAATAAAAGTCAGTATTGTCCTATGTTTGTTTTTTTACCTTCATTCTTGAGTGGGTAGTTCATTACCATTCTTAGGTAAGATTGATCTTTGCTGGTTAGCGATTTTCGATCCCCTGTGTTGATGTTACTCTCTTTTTGTTATCTCCTCTATGAGTGGATAGTTCACAACTATCATTTAATGGTTGTCATCCATTACCTTTCTCTCAGTTTTCGAGGCTATGATATTTTCCCCCTCTCTGGATTTTACCCCAGTGAAGTTGAGTTTTCTTTTCCCCAGCAGGGCCAATTTGTCTCCAATAGATTCAAATTTCTATCCGCGGAGTCGTGTTGTTCTCTAGAAATTTATTATCCTGGTTGAATTCTTTTGGTTAATTTGTAGATTCTACTTTTACTTCTCCAGTGTATGTGTCTTTCCCATCTGCATGAAATTCATACGTTACATCCATAATCATAAGCATCGCATGGTATCTTAGGGTGAAAAATAGGGCTTGTTTTATATTAAGTATCTTCAATCACGTCGAAACGAAGATTTTAATCTTCGTATCTCCGGATAGAAGACACTTAAATAAGGGCAGCTGTTGTACCCCAATTTTTTCTCCTAAGATCCCTCATCATACTTTGTACGTTTTGCACATAGCATTGGTCTCGTGGTTATAGGATCGAAGAGCTTTGGCATTAGGGTTTCTCTCTCTGAATGAAGGTTGTCGTCTTGCTCAAAATTGATTCAACTGGCGCTCTCATTTTTCTTGGCATGAGATTAGGGTTTTGGATCTCAAGCAGCATAGATGTCTCTGCTATCAGATTTCCTCAAGATAAAACTTTTTCTTCATCAAAGTTCTTTCAAGAAATAAAGGCATTAGGGTTTAAATCAGCCAGAGAATCAAGATTTCTCTTCATTTTATTGGAACTTGGTAGTGATTCCTCTATGGAAGTTTATTGAATTAATGTCTCACTCCAAGGCTGCATTGAGCACTACTCTTCCCTTATTGCGAGTTCATCATCATCAATCAGGGTTTATTCTAATCGTTATATCTCAAGAAATTCCTCTCAAGAAGTTCAGAAGATTTAGTCAAGGGCTTAGTTCTTTTAATTCTAGTTGTTAAATGGTTAAGGATTGGTTGAAGAATTCATCGAATGAATGTGCTTATTATTGATTAAGCTACGAATTAAGAGCTCCCCCAAGCTTGTTGATAGGATTTGTATGGTTTCTTGAATTTGAGATTCAATTGAGGATTTAGATTCATTGACCAAGATGGCACAAAAGATAAGCTTGTGAACTCTTTATGGACAAAGATGCATTTCATGGTGTTTGTAGTGATCAATCAATTTTAGAGATTAATGATCAATATAAGGTGTCCCACTTCAATAATCAGAACTACGTTGTGCTATCAACTTAAGGGTGTTACAAGTCTTCCTACTATGTCTTATACGAATATTTGGATTTTCATCCATGATTTCATTCAAATTGTTATGGGCAAGGAAGGAACCAAAATATTTCATTTGAAGGCATTCAAGCATCCAAAATAGTGAGGTTGAAGAAAAAGATTAAGGTTATGCAAGTTGAAATTTGAAGATTGTTTTGAAATTTCAAATAAATAAAGTCCTTTCACATTCTTAAAGAGCAAGAATTCACGAGTCAACCAATGAAAAGTGCTTGAAACTTAGAAAGAGAAAGGTGTTTCAGAAAGTGTATCATTTGGATTTACAAGGTTACAATACAAGATTTCAGTGTATGGCCATGTTTCAAGAACTTTGTTACCTTTCCAAGTTATCAAATACTTCATTCTAATTATGCCACAAAAGAAAAGTAAAGTATATTACAAGAATGCTTCAAGTTTGCATTGAAATCCTTCAAGTTTCATCAACATCATTCATGGTTACATTCAAGTTACACGTAAAACAAAGAATAAACCTATCCTAAGTCTTCAAGAGCAATGCTCCACGACCAATTCTTCTTTCGAACAACTCTTCATACCACTTGCTACTATGTGTTGAACCATGACATTTTCATCATTTCCTTCAAACCCCTTGCCATGAAAACGGGCCCGTATCACCCAAAACAGCCTGCATATAACAATTCAAACCAGTTGAAATTAACAGCAAAAACCAATTCCAGAACTTCTGTAACAGAAAAACAAAAAGGAGAGTTCAAAATTAAATCAGAAAAGAGAGGGGAAGAGGCTGCTTGGTCTGAATCTCAATGGATTTCTCATCGTAAATTCATATTCTTGATTATTTCAGCCTTGTTTTCTACGAAGAAAAAGAATGTGCGAGGTGCTTTAACATGTGATGGAAGTATATAAGCTGCTAGTTGATTGAGATTAATCCCACTGTAACGACTCTGAGTATTGAATTTCTGATAACTACATGTAAAAGGAAATAACAGTTAACAACTTCCTGTAACTGAAGCCTAACAGAATTTCAATTTCCCAACAGAATCTAACAACTCATTCTTAACCTTTTTTTAACATATATTCTAACTGTTCTAAACATAACTAACAAACAGAACGAAATTCCCAAACGAACTCTCTAACAAAATTTCAACTAACAAATTCCAAATTGCTTCTAACTACTTCAAACAGGAGATAAAAGAGAGGACATGAAATAGAAAAAAAAAACTCAGAAGAAGGATATAGAATTCAACACAGAAAAAACTCAAAGAGATTTTTCCTTTCATTCTCTCCATCACCGTCACGATCCATTCTTTACCATCTCGAAGAATCACCAACCTTTATCATTCTGAGAAATTTCCAGAAATCTCTACCTTCATCTCTCTGCACACTTGAAACCTTCATCTTCATTTTCCTCACATCAATGCTCCTTCATTCATTGTTTGTGCAACTTATCGCAACTCCTACAACATCAACATCTTCATCATTCTTGGCAACCGCAACATCAACATCTCCAACACTTCTCACTCTCGACATCTTCATCAACATCGCAACAATGCAATCGCAACTTCATCAACATCAACGTAACAACTTCACAATGATAGAAGATTAATTCAAAGTGAAACGTAACTGACCTTTGGATTTCTTGTGCTATCGCCACGGTAGGAAGAGCCTTCGGAGCTACTCCGGCAGGTAATCCTAGAACGTATGTTTTCTCCATCTATTTTTAATATTTCTACATACCACGATGTAGTTTGTGGTCTCTTGAAAATTTCTCCCAAGGCTTCAGGTCTTGATTCATTGTCCTGGCGATTTAATTTTAGTTCAAGAACCTAGGGTTTTTTTTAGGATTCTTTAGATATAGGAAGAATCAGGAAGAGTTGAAAGAAAAGAATGAGAGATTCGAAAAGGTGAGGAGGAACCTCTGTGGCCGCCGTCGAAGGCGTGGCGGCGCGGTGTCACTAAGTCTGAACGAAGCATTTGAGAGGGAAGAAGTTTTTCGTTTTGAAAGTAGGTGAGTAGTCACAAGATGTAACCCTAAAAACTCTAATACGACACCGTTCCCCATTCTTCTTCTTTCATTTTTTAATTTTTCTTTTCGATGAAAACAAATTGAATAATAATATGAAAAATGAATAAAAATTTGAATAATCTGATGATGATGATGATGATGTTGGATTAGCTTGGGCTACGCTTGGGTCGTCGCTGCTACTCTTGCTTAAGCTCGATACACCACTTTTTTTTGGTACTCAGAATTTCCTTGGCACAAAAATCTTATTGGATTGCAAGTTAATCAGGCCTAGCGCCCTTACTTTAATACACACCCAGAATCTAGTTCAAGACCCCCTGATCTTGGGGATTCCTCTCATCATTTTAGGTAACAAACTAAAAAAATCAATAAATTTGTTGGATTTCTCATTTGATTTTTTTAGAAAATTTATTCCTGAATTTTTTGATAACTTGATATTTGTGATTCACCTTTGTTGGTTGAGCCGAATTTTATGCAGGTTCATTATTTGATATGCGGATGTTTTTTGGATTCCGATTGTGATTTATTTTCACACCGACGAAGTTTCGACACCTATTCCAAATATTCGATCTCTGACTGTTTGTTTGTAGATGCCATCTCGTACGAAGTATCTCGGATTTCTTTACTTTGGTTGCGCTTTTTGCGAACATCATTGTTCGTTTGATATTATACTGCTTCCAAGTTATATTTCCACATTTATCGCTTTTCTAGATATCATGAGAAGTATGAAATAAAGAGCGTGCGCTCGAAGTCGCTGTTTAAAGACCTGTAGCAGGCATTCCGCACTTCATTTCTTATATGTGTTGTGCTTGTGTTTTTTTCCTTTCTTGTTGATCGATGAGTCACTCAATTTAGAAATTGAGACCACGACTTCACTCTCAGTGCATTCTCCCTATAGGATTTTATCACTTTCTTTTATTTCTTGTTGATCGATGAGTCACTCAATTTAGAAATTGAGATCACGACTTCACTCTCAGTGCATGCTCCCTATAGGATTTTATCACTTTCTTTTATTTCTTGTTGATCGATCAGTCACTCAATTTAGACATTGAGATCACGACTTCGCTCTCAATGCATGTTCCCTATAGGATAGTTTTGTTAGACTTTCTTTGACATGCTAACTTAGATAGGATCCCTCATTGTATGATAACATTAGATTAGAGATAGGTTGGTCTCCCTTAGATGTTTTCTTCCCATTTTTTGCATAATTGCACTTAAAACTAAAACTTCTTTTTTTCTTGGCAAACATATAAAAAATGCTAAGTATATAAAAAAATTCTTTCCATGATAAAAAAAATACTAACCAATCCATTTCTTTTCGCCATCCGGCTTTTCTCTTCTAAGAGCATGTTAGCTCCTTTCCACTATAGGTCATAAGTTTCCAAAGGTCGAGCAGCGGTGGAATGATCGAATGCAACATTGTTCATTTAAAAAATACAAACAAACAAAATATATGAGCCGAACTACGGTAGCTCTGATTCCTCAAAAAGGATACGTAGGCATTGGGGTAGGGCCCAAGCAAGTACAACTTTATTTTCCCTACATTCTTTCTCTTTTCTTTGCATGCATTCCCTCTTAGTTTATAACCCTTAAGCATTAGATTGAACACACCCTTTGATTAGAATAACGAGAGTGGATCCTGTAGAGTACTATGGACGTGTGGGGTGCTAATACCTTCCCCTCGCTTAATCGACTCCCTTACCCAATCTCTCGGTCGCAAGACCTTGATTTTCCCCTTTAGGTTTTTCTTCGATGATTTTCCTTTCCCTTTCATATGGGATAAATAAATACTCGGTGGCGACTTCGTTGATTTTACCTCTATACTTGGTCGTACATGACCCTTTGCTGGAATTCAAGTTCAATGCCCCAAGTGATTCAGATGCAGACCTGCCCCTGGCTATTCAGGATTTTATGAGATATTTCCTGGAATTTTAACTTGACTTCCCCAGATGAGTTGGAAAATAACCTATCATGCACCCTTGATTATGGGAGATTTGTCATCGGAAGCGTCTTTCCATTTGAAGTGATTATGTTTCTTTGAGAGAATTTACGTTCATTGGATATTAGTGGCGTGAATTTCTCTGTTGTCAAACAAATAGCCATATGAAAACAACAGTATTCAAACAATGCAAAGTTTATGTTTGTCTTGAAATTTTGAAAATCCATTTTTAGAAAATAAAATAAATTTGTAAGAATATGAATTCCACTCAGGATTTACAGCAAATCTTACAGGAGTCAGGATACCTTTTGTAACAGTATGCCTTCGAACTAACCCATGCTTCAATTAGGAATTCTGAAGGGTTGTAGCGTGGCTTGGTTCACGGTTTAAGAAACAAAGGATAAGGCTTAAAGTGTATTTATACCCACCCGTTCTTCATGATGTTCTTTGGCCCTATACTCAGTTAATTGCACGTTTTGAATTCCGATTGAGTCTGGAATGACGTTTTGGTGATGGTACGGACAAGTTAAGTTTGTTGGAGAAGGCAGTCATTTTGCAACATTTTTCTGTTGTTGAGGATTTGTAACGACCTCCTTTTTTTGATTTATTGCCCCTATTTTTTGCCTGACTGTTTTGAGATTATAGTCAGTAGGATGCCCCAGTTTTTCTTAAGTCTCCTTCATAGGTTTTGACTCAGTGGGCTTTTCTTTTGAGAGATAATGACTGCATATTTTATAGGGAACCATCACTATCTTTTAATTCAGAAGGATGTTTTTGATGTCATACGTTGTGTATAAAGTGAAAGCTTGTGACTGAGCACGCTTTTGAATTAACTGAGAAACTACCATGCCCCAGGTTTTGATTAAAGGTTTCAATTTGTATGAAAAAGAAAACTCCTACTTATTTGGCTCAAATGGGTTGACTAGGGATCATCTTCCTTATAACTCCAGTGTTTAGGGATTGAAAGAACGCCTATACATCGTCGGAAAGGTCTATCCAAAATCATATTGTATGAGATTATGATATAGTTTTCGTCATCCTCCCACTAAACGCTTACCACTTTTTAAACAAGATTTGAATATCATAAAGGGAGTAGAAGCACAGTTTAAATATAGTGAAAATGAATGGATTAATTCAAGATAAATATATGCAATGCATTAATGAAAATAAAGTTTGACATAATAGATAAGTGTTTGAACAAATAATAGAAATTACAATTGAAAGTTCAAAATGAACTGGACACTCTCAATGATTTGGTATGAGAGCAGTGATCACATTGGGAGTCTTTGAAGGGCTGAATTCAATCTCCTTGGCGTCAATCATGTCTTGAATTTTGTTCTTTAGAGCCCAGCATCCATTCGTATCATGTCCAGGACTATCGTAATGGTATGCACACCTTTCATTGGGATGGTAACTAGGAGCAGAAGTATTGGTGTTCCGCAGAGGAGCCTTTAACGTAATCAACTATGCCTTTAACATGCGCTGTAACACTTGAGCCAGTGACATTTTGATTTTGGTAAATTGTCTTTTGGGTGTAACCTATTTATGCTGATTCCCTTGTTGATGTTGTCCCACAGACGTAGGGTTAGAGATTAGCGCAGCTCCCATAAATTGGTTGTGGTTACCTCTAGCATGTCCCTCTTGGCCATATACAGCGTTAGACTCTTTCTTTCCAATGTACGTCTTCTTTTTAGTACTTGAAGATGAAGCCACTTGGATCTTTCTGCTTTTAATTCCGTTTCCAACTCATTCCCCAGTTAGAATCAGCTCGGTGAACCCAGCTGAGGAGCTTCAGATTAGGTGATTGATGAAAGGTCCTATCAAAGTTCCCATAAAGATATCAATTAGCTCCCTGTCAGTTAGGGGTGGTTGCACCCTGCCAGCCAGATCTCTCCACTTTTGGGCGTATTCTTTGAAGCCCTTGTTTGAACCCATGGTCATTGTCTGCAACTACACACGAGTTGGTGTAAGATCAGCATTGTATTGGTACGGCTTGTAGAAAGAAGCAGCTAGATCTTCCCAGGTGTGGATGCGGGAACCCTCTAATTGATAGAACCACTCAAGTTGAGTCCCAAATAGACTCTCTTAGAAAAAGTGAACCCACAACTTCTGATCAGTGGTGTGTGGCTGAATCTTGCGGACATAAGATCTCAGATGCATCTTAGGACAAGAGACCCCGTCATACTTGGCAAAGATAGGGATCTTGAATTTGTGGGGAATGACCACCCCAAGAATCAAACCCAAGTCTCCAAAGTCCAAGCCAGACACAACTTGGATTTCCATAGCCTTTAGTTTGTCTTCAAGTTGTTTGTATTTTTCATTTACAAGTGGATATTGTTTATCAAAGTAATCTTCGTCCTCATAAGCTTGATCATTTTCACCCCTAGCACGAGTGCTCCTTGCCTCTTCATCCTGGTTCTCGTCTTCCTCTGACGACTCTTCAACTATCTGCACCTAACGGACCGGGCCTTTAAACCTTTTCCCCATGTTTAGGATGCCAACCTTCTTCTTAGTCTTCTTCTTGCTCTCTTTGGTGAAGAGTGCTTTCAGATCTTCCTGCCCCTTGGATAAGTTCAGGAACATTTGTTGGAACTGGGCATTCTGAGCTTAGAGATCTTTAACTGTTTTCTCTAGAGCCATCTCTACTGAAATAAACAGTAAGCAGATGAGAAAACCTGTACGGGGAAAACCTGTTATGATGACATGCATGTTATGTGGATGTGATGTTTTCAAGGATCTCGTGGGGTAAACACAATAAAATGTTAGAAGTTTAACTTTGATCACAACTTTGAGTGAAGAACTTTGTATCTTTAGATGTCCTTCCACGAGAATCAAGCTCACCATGTCAAGTGGGTCATAGCCCTTCACTCAAGTTACCATGCTTTGGTCTTTGACATCATTTGGTTAGAGGAGAATAAATCCTCTTGCTCCTTGATAGACGTTTGGTTCAACATGACCCTGTATCACAGGCCCTTGAGATCCTTGAAATGGTTATTGAAAAATGCTATGGTATGACGTTGTGATGTTATGTACAAGTAATTATACACAAGCAAAAGAAAACAATTCCTTAGGTTTAGTCTTGCGTGGAGTTTATAGGTAAGTACCCTCTTGAAGTTTAGTTGGTTCAACCTGTCCAACAAAGTAATCGGGTTCTAGGGAATCTCAATATCACTGATCTTTCTTCATTGGGAATTATTTTAGCATAATCAATCTTTTCTTGGGGCCAAAATATCCCAAAAATCTGATCTCAATGA